ATTAATTATATTTTCTTCTGTAGCTTATTACTCTAAGAAAATTTTTGAATTCCGTCGTAAAAAGTGAAATGAAGATTAGAAAGCCGTTGCTTTCGGCTCTTCATTAGCTTCTTCTTTACCATAAAAATGATCAGCTAATCTCGCAAATGGCAGCTGCATTGGAATCTTTGCAGCACGCCGAATTTCAGCCAAGAGACGAACAACTTTCTGTTTATTCAAATCTATTTCTTCTCGTATGTGTTTTGGGATCTCATCTGATAAAATAATAAGAAGCTCCTTTTTTGTGCGTTGAATATTATCTAAAGCTTCAATTATTTCCCCACCTGCAAACTGTAAAGCTTGATCTTCGATTCGAGGAATAATTTGCTGAACAAGACCGATTGCATGACTAATGGAATCATACATAGCTATCATGTCAATTTCAGCCTCCATTCGACTATAAATCGCTCGACGAAAACAGGCTGTAATAATCTGCTTTGCAAGAGCGCAATCTTCGAATTTTAAATGTGAAACTTGGTTATCATGGTTAGGTGGCCCAAGTTTTTTTAGTAGCAACTTATAAATTGTATTTACGCTAATCTGGCCACCCAATTTTAGATACCCCATAACGGAAGAATAACCCTTTAAATTAGTATCATCTACCTTTAAGCATAAAATATAATCATCTCCACATCGCTGAACAAACTGGCCAATCGCAGCTTGCCTTTCATGGTTTGTCCAAGGTTTGGCATTATACTCTTGTGAAACTATAATCAAACAATATCGCGTTTCATGCGAGTATACATTCTCAAGTACAATAGATAAGTCCTTACCCCATAGTTCTGCCTGTTGATACTCATCATAAAAAATTGAATAACCCGACTGATCAAGTTGATCAGCAAATGTTCTTGCTAATTCACGCTGTTCTCCTGCAAAAGATATGGCTAAGTCGTATTTGTAAGACATTATCTAATTGATTTATCTGATTTGGTTCTATGTAAATATTATATAGTGACTTCCGCTTTTATGTCTAGCAAATGCGTTTATAAGTATTGGTTCATCTAAAATGAGTAGATTGCCTCTGTGATAGCATACGCTTTCAATCTGGTCGGTGATCATACTAACTTATGAATAGAAAGCGTCTTTATGTAACTGATTTGCATAGTCGTGATTAAGTAAACTAACAAATGGAAGCGAAGTTAAAGCATTTGGAGTTTATCCAAAGTCTCATCACTAGGTTTAATAGTAATTGTTTTTTAGTAAAAGGTTGGACCGTGACTCTGGTTGCCGCTCTGTTTGCTTTAGCGGCTAAGGACGCCAATGAACGCTACTTATTAATCACCTACATTGCAACCGTCATATTCTGGTTGCTAGACGCTTATTATCTAGCTTATGAGCGACAGTATCGTCAACTCTATCACGAAGTAAGCCGGAAAGCTCCCGCAACAATTGACTTCTCATTGGATATTAGCCCCTATCGACATGGGCGGAATACATGGTGGAGAGCTATTCAGGCTCAAACATTGATTATCTTCTATGGTTCACTAGCGGCTTTGCCCTTGTTACTATTACTTATTTTTAAACGACTATTCTAACTTTAAGAATGGAAGAATATAAACCGGAACGTTACCTTCTCTTCATAAGTCATGCCTTACCTGAAGACAACGAGTTTGTACTCTGGTTAGCGGCCAAATTGCGAAACGAAGGCTATGAGGTCTGGAGCGAAGTGGAGCAGGTTCATGGCGGAGAACATTTTTGGAGGGAAATTGAGGATGTACTTCAAACTAAGGCCGTTAAAATGATATTGGTAGCCTCTCAGATTTCGGTTAAGAAAGATGGGGTAAGAGCCGAATGGGATTTTGCACGTGAATTAGCGCGGCAGCAGCAGTTGAAAGATTTTATCATTCCACTTAATCTCGATGGCGTTAGCAGCAATGCCATAATTGGAATGACCGGCTTGGCGATGATTCAGTTTCAAAATTCGTGGGCGCATGGGGTTAAAGCATTGCTAAGAAAACTTGTCAAAGATGATGTACCCAAAACTACTCATGTCAACCCCTTGTCTGCTGCTCTATGGTATTTTAACCGGTTTGCTACTACAAACACCGTTAATAATAAGTCGGAAACGTTTTATTCTAACTGGGTAGCCTTACCCCATCTACCTCGTACGCTATTTCTTCATGAGTATGCCAATGACGTTCAAGCCAAACAAATTATTCAGCAGATACAGGAGAATAGTTTGTTTCCGGTAGCGCGTCATGAACGATTCGTCATGGCGTTTGAGAAAGGTTTACCTAGCCTTCGGTTGAGCGACTCGGTAGGTTCTTTATTCAGTTCAGCCATTATTAAGTCTGTAAATAAAATTAACTTGTCTGTCGGTCGAATACAAGGTCGACATTATAAGTCGAAAGAGTTTCCAACCACACAGGATGCATCGAACTTTTTAGTGCAGCTCCTTCAGCAAGCTTTTCATAATTTCTTTGTACAGCGCGGTTTGCAAATCTATGAATTAGCCAATGGTAAACTCTGTTACTATTACCCCCGGACAGAGTTAAGCGACGTTAAAGTCAAATATAACTATCAAGGAAAGTCTCGTTTAAAGCAATTGACTGGGGTTTATCTTGGGGAGGATTTTTGGCATTACGGCATTAGTTTTGCCGTGCGGCTGAATCCGCTATTGGCTATCAGTGTAAAGGCGCACATACTATTCTCTAACGATGGCAAAACGATTTGGGACGATAAGAAGGCCATTCACTCGGCCCGACGTAAGAAAGGGAAGCGAATGTTCAATTCAGAATGGCGCGATCTATTGTTGGCTTTCTTAAGCAGTTTGTCCGACGATCAAGAGACATTTAGCATACCGATTACGGCCCAAGAGCAACTTTGGCTGGCCACTACACCCATAACTTTCATTAGTGATAAAGGGTATGAAGATCCCCAAGATAAAGGTCGTCTGATCCCTATGGATGACAGTGAAGAAGAACATGGGGACGATGAAGAGCGAATAGAATTTGACGCTGAAGCAGCCTTAGCCGAACTAGAATTGAGTGCGCAGGAAGTTAACGTATTAGATGAAGAGGATCAGACTCATGAAGAAATCATTTAACTTGACGGTTTTACCAGAGCCTAGGCTACGATTTGCCTATGGACAGCGACTAACTGATCCTCGAGACGGCCTCACGTTATATGGTCCTTATGATAAGGGGCAAGTCAACAACTTTACGGTTGGCATCATCGGCACACCCGTCAGTACCACTCGCTTTAAGCGCTGGATGGCTACGATCCAAAAGCCAATCTACTACCCAACACTGGATATGGCCAAGCCGTTTTTTCCCGGATTTGAGGAGGTGTACGGTATTCGATTTAATGACCAACAATACGCACAGTTAACAATAGATCCAGGAGCACTGGAAACCTTTTTTCGCTATACAGATGACCACGTACGGATTGCAAACATTGTTGATTTATACGTCGATGAGTTAGTTCGTTATAAAGAAGAAGCTGACGTGCCGGTCAGCTTATGGTTTGTGGTGATTCCCGACATGGTTTATCAATTATGCCGACCACTATCAAAAGTAACAAAGACAAAAGACACCTTCAACATAGGTATTAAAGACCTAAATACCCGTCTAAATGAAACTTTGTTCGAAGATGAAGGACTAAAACAGATGCGTCGAGCGTACGACTACGAAAAACATTTTCACAACCAACTCAAAATAAAGCTGCTAAGTCATGGCATCCTGACCCAAGTAATCAGAGAAAATACTATTGCCTATCAGGAATTTACTGACAAGAATGGCAAGCCCAAGAAAGACCTGTCAGCTTTTGAAACAGATATTGCTTGGAGCCTAACTACATCCATATATTACAAAGTCACAGGTCTACCCCCTTGGAAACTAGCTGATATTCGGGAGGGAGTTTGTTACATTGGATTGGTCTTTAAGAACGATGACCGACATATGGATCGTCGGATTGCCTGTTGCGCTGCTCAGATGTTTTTAGATTCTGGCGACGGGCAGGTATTCAAAGGGGCTGTTGGGCCCTGGTATAATCCAGACACCAAAGAATACCACCTATCCAAAGATAGCGCGAAAGACTTGTTGACTAAAGCGCTTGCAGACTATACACGTAAGCATGGATCGCCTCGAGAAGTATTTATTCATGGCCGTACCAGTTTTGATAACAACGAATGGCAGGGTTTCCAAGAAGCGGCTGGTACAGCTAAGTCAGTGGTAGGTATTAAAATCAATCACGAATCGACGTTTAATTT